CCCCAAAACCCCAAAACCCCAAAACCCCATAATCTGTAATCTCTATATTCTTAAAAATTATTTTGGCTTTTAATATTTAATGGAATAATCACCTTAAACTAAATTGAAAGCAGGCTTCAAGTTAGACTACGATAAAATCAAGTATCCTACTAGGAATTAGGATTAAGTATTATTTGATAGGAGAATCTCAAATATACAACTTCCCGCTTAATCAAACTAGGTGGGACTGCTTTTGAATCGCACCCGAGAAAGTAAATCCTAAATGGTTCCAACTTCTATGAAACAAACCCAGCAAAACATTAGCAAGTTAAAGAAGTTACAGTTCGATGCTGATTTTGAAAGTGGTAATCTCGATCTTGTCAGAGAAAAAGAGAAGAATTCTTTCGAGATATTCATTAGGAATGATTCAAATTCTGCCTCGAATAACTAATGGTTCTATTTCAGAGTGAAAGTCCCAGGTTTTATGAAGAATTAGACAATAAAATTGGTAATCGTGAACTTCACAAAGCCTAATTCTCTTTTTTAACAAGTAAAAAAATAAATTTGGCATAACTTACTTTTAAATTTTAGGGGATGAAAATCTCAATATTCTCTAAATAAGCAGATAAGCAAATCTCAAATGGATGGATTTATGGAGGCAATAATATATATTATGGACGATCAGATTAAGAAAGAGAAATAAATGAAAATAATCAACTAAAATAGTAAGCGATATAGTTCAATAAAATTAAGAAAGTAGTATTACTCTTTGAGCTTTGAGTACAAGTTCGAGCATGCAGGAGACGAAGTATTTTTCGCATATACTGTGCCTTACACTTACAATCAACTCTAAAATCATATAAGATAGCTTACTTCGTTACTAGATGGTAAAATTGATAACAGATCTAACTTTTTAGTTTAATAATACTTAAAGGTAGAAACACTCGGTCACTCTACAGGAAGCATCCAAATACCATTATTGAAAATTCAATCTGCATCTGATCTTAGTGGAAAGGTAAGCCGTTTAAGCACTTAGCAGACTATTCATGCTCCCGAGTATCCACAGACTAAACAGATCATTTTAATTATCGCAAGGCAACATTCTGGTGAAACTCACTCTAGTTTTATTACTCATGGACTTATAAATTTTCTACTTTAGGACAATCCAACTAGTTTCAATTTAAGACAGTCTTATGAATTTTGGATAATACCAATGACTAATCCTGATGGTGTGATTGTTGGGAACTACAGATCCAATTTATAGGGTAAAGATATGAATCGCTGCTTTTTTAATGAAGAAGAACTTCAGTATTAATCACCAGCTAATGAAGTTGAGCTCATTTAGAAATATCTCAAGGAACACATCACCAATTACAATCAATAAGTATAGGATGATAAAATTAAAGGTCCTCTCAGAGAAATCAAGATGTTTTTAGATATTCATACGCATTCTAGTTAAAGAGGAATATTTATATTTGCTCCTTAGGCCTCAATATAAGATCAGCATAGAGTTAGATCTTATCCTTAGAAGCTAGATGAGTAATCAATATACTTTAGACTATAATCATGCAAATTTTCTAATGATAAAAATAAAAAGAATTGTGCAAGGCTTTCATTCTATCGAGATTGGAAAATAGATATGTCCTACACTATTGAAGCTTCAAGCTATGGCTATATAGATAAGCAAAATAACACTGTTGTATAGTTGAAGCCATCAGATTTAATTGAGTTTGGTAAGCATATCCTAATTGCTCTTGCTAGTTTAAATTAGCTTGAAGAAAAGCCAATAAATGGCAAATCTGCTCTGAATAAAGGATATATTTTTTCATTAGATTACGGAATGACTGGACTCCATTAAGATGAAAGACCTTATTCTACAGCTTCAACTACATTAACTCCAAGGCTGCCTAATAAACAAAGAACAGCTAATAATTAGTCTAAAAATAAAATCCGAATAATGTTAACAGACAGAAGAAAATTGCCCAAAGATGCAGAAATAATCTGCCATTAATCATTAGAAGAATTACCTCTAAATAAATCACCTTCAAGCAAAAAGGATTTACATAATAGCTCTATTAAAAATCACATCACTTAAAATCTCAGTATTATGTTTGACTAGTTGCACCAAAAGCTTAGAAAAGATAGATAATCAAAGTAATCGAGCCAACCTAATATAAATTAAAGCAATTCTCCAAAGGAACTGTATCCAGTAAAGAAAACAGTATTTTAAATGTTTTAGGATGCACTTAATAATAAAAGTTTTGATAATTAAGATGAGAACACTTTTGGAGGAACTAGCTAGCCTAAGCTCAACAAAATAACTTCTGACTTGATAAAAAATATGAAGAATTAAAAAAGACAGATGCTTGGATAACTCGGACAGAGCTAAAAAATGAGATATCAGACAAGTGAAACTTACAATAATAACTCTTCAAACAAGAGCAAACTTCTTAATGATAATGGCGATTACTATCAGCATAACTTTGACACAGAAGAAAATGAAGCATATTTCTTAAAATACGATGATAATAGTTATGGATTTTTGGATGATTAACTAAACACTTAACTAAAGAAAAAAAAGAGCTCATTTGGGACAAATCCTAAGAATTCTAACAGAGAGCAGCTTTTTCACTCACATGTCTCACAATCTCCTAATCTTAGTAAATACAACCTTCCATAAGTGCTGAATCTTGAATCTGAACAAGCTGTGGTTGAAGGTTTCAAATAGTATTTCAAAGATAACTAAAATAAAGAGGCCTAACATTAAAATCTGAGTACACTTGAGAGTGTGAAAGAATACCCCAATAAAATACAGGATAAGGAGTTAGAAGCAAGAAGCTAAGAGTTCAGATAATATCTTAAAGAACAGCTAAAAAGAACAAAGTAAAAAATGAACTATAACCATCAACCTTTATACATGCCTCTTAATGTCAAAGCAAACAATGGGAAAATGGCTTAAATCTCTGAGATTAAAAGTATTACCATCTAGCAAGAAAGGTAGCCTTTAAAGTAAACTATTCCTCAAATTCTTTTCTCACCTAAAAATAGAAAAGAATCTAATGATGTAACCATCAGAGATTTCAATGAAAAACTGCATATAAATAAGAGACATGCCTAATTCCATGAGTTAGTCCAAAAGATATCCTCAAATCAATCAAAATTAGAGAGAAACAGTGATCAAGCAAATGCTTAATCTCAGGGTATAAACGATCAAAAAAGGAAAAGATCATTTAACGAGAAAGACACTGAGAAACTGAGAGAGATTATAGTACTTACAAGAAGTGTAGACAAGACTAATGGACATCCATTCACAAATAAGATAAACTTTCCTGACATAATGCTTGGCATAGATTAAACAGAGTATATGTAACCTTTGGGTAGAATTAGAGGAGAGTTCAACTTGCCACCATTGCAAGAATAGAAACCAGTAGATGATTAAAAAAGGCGTTTTATTAGAGATACCTTCAGAGATTTGTTAACAGATAAGACAAAGACTGCAGATTAGTCCCCGTCAACTTTGAGAGACAGTAAAAATATTTTAGCAAGTGTTTTTATTAGGAATTTAGAAGATGATAAGAACAAAATCAGATTTGATGCAATAAACCATTGGAAGATCAAGTAGTAATTTACCTCTTCAAATCACTCTAAGCAAAAAAGTAAATAGAGGCAACATTTTGAATAATACAAGAAATACTTGAGACCATGAAAGATCCGTGACCTTATATTGATCATTCTATAACCTATCAATAGTCATATTAAAATAAAATAATAATGCAGTGCTTAATTTCTTAAGTAATGTATATCTTTTAATTCTATTTATATTTCTCAATCATGGGGTTTTGGGGTTTTGGGG